CAAGTTAGGTACCCCGGTGGGTTCCGTACCTTAGCGGAGGGAACGGCAAGGGAACGTACCGTGAATGCAAACCCTGAATTATTGCATGAATGTTACGGCGTTCAGAAATAACTTCTTGCCAGAAGTGAACGATAGGAAACCCATTAGCATGGGGAGCTTGCGTGCAGTCAGTAATCTGAATGCGAAGACATTTTTCCCCCCCTGACAGCGCGGGATTGTCTTATAAATTTTTTTTTAAAAAAAGTGAAATAGGTGTTTGACATGAGCGATTAAGGGAAGCTGTTTAGAATTGCAAAGTGAATTAAAGCTTTCAAATGTCTTTACACAGTTAGAGGCAGAAGCAAAAGTACTGGAATTGGAATAATGAGCTAGGAAATTGCTTCTTTGAAAGGAGAAACATTTGAAACCAGAAATAATCTTCCAGTTTTACTTCTCTGAGTTAAATTGCTTTTAATTCTAGAGACTCAACAGCGATGTTGATACACAGCAGGAGTTGCACAAGTGTGTGTGTGGCAGGGGTGGGGGGGGGCTGTGTGTTTTGTATGTTAAAACTTTTTGAAGTGTGGAAATCCCCGTTCTGGAGATTTTAGGGAGTTAGGTTTTATGCACCTTTGGGAAAGGGAAAGGCCCGTGCCTCTGAGGCTTAATTTCACATTTCCACGCCGTCCAGTGGAAGTAGCATTGGTGCTTCTCCATTGTGAACGTGAAGCATCTGGGAGAGTTTCTGGGTTTCTAACCCTGTTCTCCCCGCAGAGAAACTATTCGTTATTTCCAGTGTAATGCCTCCATAAGCCTGATCCTAAACTTCCTTTACGGGGGTGTCATTGTCTCCGCTTACCTGGGAGAAACCCCAGCACAGAAACGGGGGGGATGATTCATCCATGTTGTCTTAGTGATGATACGGTGATTGAGCCTCCTGTTTCCTGATGGCTCATGCCTTAGTCATACCCTCCTGTAAAGGCTGGCTCAGAGATGACCTCTCAAGGGCCGTGCTCGTGTTTTAGATTGATAGTGAGAGGGGGGGGAAAAACACTTTAGATGATAGAATTCCTTCTCATTTGTCCTGACGGGAAACCCTGGCATCACTTTGTCATTTTCCCAAACTTTTGTTTTGCTCTGCTTTGGTTCTTCGACAGCCTGTTTAAAAATAATAATGATGATAATAGGAATAAAAGTTGTTCAGCACCAGTTGTGAGAAGGTCTGGCAGCCACTCGGGGAGCACAGAAGTGGTCAGGGTCCAACCTGGATCAGATCTGTTTGCCCTGGGCTAATAGAATAACTCCTAGTGTCAGCTTAAGAAGGATGGGGTTGGGTTTTTTCCTGTCAATTCAAAGCATTCTAGCTTTTTTTAGATCTGTGGATTTTAATATTAAGACACTTGTAGAGACAAGAGTATTTTTCTCACAAGCAGCACCGAGTGACTCTGGTGCATCAGGTGAAGATCTATGAGTTACCATGGCTACCCCAAGGCTTCTCCCAGTGGCACTGGGCTGAGCTCACGCAGCTGGTAGCTTTTGAGCTTTGCAGCTGTGAACGACAGGAACCAAAAGGCCAGTCCTGCCTCCCCCAGACCTGCTCCGTAGCTGCACCACCCGAGTCCGAAGTTCCTCTGCACCGTTCGTGCCGCAGGAGATGGCTTCTTGGAAGTGCAGACTCTGCCTCCCTCCAGCTTCCCAGGCAGGCTCGAACCCTGGCACTGCTGGTGAGCGAGAAGGTAAGAGGTGGTGCGGCTACGGGCGGTGGGAAATGAATGATGAGGAAACCGACATCCAAACTCCACCCGTCGGCGTGCAGGGGGAGCCGCTGTTGGTATCGATAGGCTGCGTTTCGGTATCTGATGGACCCTCCTCAGGCACACTTGACCGATCTCAAAGTCCATTTACTTGAGGTGGTCAAAGCATCCCTAGCAAGGAGAACTTGGGGCTTTCTCCAACCTTCCTGACGCACTGCAAGAACCAGCGAATGACGCTGTTCCTTGCGATGCACTCTGGAAACGACCTCAGGTGAGGTTTGAGCCGGCTTGCCTTTATGGGCAGAATGTAGAGAAGTTCTGAGGCAGCTCTAAAAATCCAGCTTCCATGGGAAGTAGGATGAAAATGTGTACGTATTTTTTGGCTTTGGAGTTCTTTTTGGGTTTTTTGGGGGGAGTCTAACCTCCCTGGCTGAAGAGGAACACCAGAAATGTTGTTTTGCTTCTGAAAACTCAGGTTAAAAAAAAAACAAACAAAAAAAAGTGATGTTCTCATCGGAGCCCAGGTTTCCGAACGCACGTACTTGTTTTGTGCGCGCTCTTCATTAAGTTGGCAATCTGTTCGTGTTCCATCTATGTGAGGGAACAATAAAACAAAGACCGAGTTGAATACTTTCTTTCCATGATTTTAATGTCTGCTGGAAGGTTTCCCTTAGCTCTGAGACAGATTTTTGCCAGCTACAATCATTTTGTTCTGGTTCACGTTGCAGGAATCTATGACTAAGCAGGTACCCAGGAAACCCTTCCAAGCGGCTTCAAATTCATCTCCGTATTGTATCTATGTACAAAATGGAGTGTACAACACTCCTGTCTTTTTTTTTTAAAGCACTGATATTCTCTCCTGCAAGATGAGTTGCCTTTTTTTCCTCCTAAAAAGACAGGAGAGTAGATGGACACTTCATGTTTCAGCTCAGTCATGCATGCTGGCTGCTTTTATTCTTCCTTTCATTAACTCTCTCAAGATTTGGCACAACAAGAGCATTATATAAGACTAAATAACTCTTACATAAATCTGAGTGAATGCCTTTCATGAAGTACGGGGTGCTTATCGTGGCTGTAAGTAAAAATGAATCACTTCCTTTTCAAACGGGAGCTTTAAACCTTGTATTTTGTGTAGTTAATTGCCACAAGCCAAAATAACCTTTTAAGCTCTATGAATTTTCACAGCTGCAGACTGGAGGGGAAAAAAAAAAACCCAACCACCCAACCCACAGTGATAAATAGAAACTTAAGAATTTCCAAAAGAAATGATGCCCCACTCCAACTGCCTCTTTTAGCACAAAGCCCAGCTCGTTTTTGCCAGGATGGTAAATGTTCCTACCACATGTCCGTGGAGCCGAGAACCTGAGGATCAGCTAAAGGACAGAATGAGAATGAAGCAAGGACGGCATGAATCTGACACTCCAGAGCAGCATGGGGAAGAGTCCCCAGGTCGAGAAGCTTTTGCTAGAGGCCAACAGACCGGGCAGGTTCAGGGCGCGGCAGCTCAGCACCACACTCGTGGAAGAATCTCGACCTGTTCCTAGGTGTAGGGGAACACAGGGATGTACCTTGTGCGGGCTTTTAAGATGAGAGAATTAATAATACTAATTATAATCTGTGTTACAAGGCAAGATTAGAATGTGGAATTGTATTCAGCAAATCAGGAACCTCAGAGGAAAACTGGGATAAAAGAGCATTTCCAGCCTCCCAGTACTGGGCAAGGTAAGAGGCTGCAGAAACGGTGCTGGGACTGTGCTTGGGAGCCCCAGTTGTGCTGGGAGAGAAACTCTGTGGCCTGTCACCCCCCTCCGCTGTGGGACGGTTCTCTCCTGGTACAAGAGTGAGGTCCTTGCTTCAGTGAAGGACAAGCAAGAGCAGGAGGGAAGGACCTGGTGTTGGAAGGGGAGGGTTGCGTAGGGAAGTAGCAGGAAGACAGGGAAAGAAAAGGGAGGTTGAAGGTCAGAAACCCACTGGCCATTGTGAGGAGGAAGAAGGAAATACTGAGAAAGAAGGAGAAATATCCCAAACAGGGGACTGAGGAGTATGGGATACAGTCAGTATATCAAAAGACCAGTGGATGGCAGCATATTTTTGCTACCAAAATAGGGGGTTGTCACACCACGTGTTTTGGTTGTAGCTCATCTGCTGCCTAAAGCAGGACCTGTCCCAGGAACAAACCCAGGTTTGACTCAGCCGTTAGCACAAGCTGCCACCACGTGTGCTCTTTGTGTCCAGTTCCTCTCTAAGACAGCCGTGACCGCTGTTGTAGCCGGCCCCCACTGGGCCAGTGGGGAGACGAGCAGCGTGTTTTACAAGGATAGGGGTGAAAGGCAGAGGCTGGGAGGGAGGACAGGGGGGATAAGATGGTGCGATCGAGCTGTCTGCACCTTCTGAGAGTTCCTAAGGGTATTTCAGGAATCTAAACTCAGGCGGCTTTGTCTACACCCTCACCTTAGTGTATTACTTCTGATAACTCAGTGAGGTCTCAGTCCGGGGTTTATTGTTCTGCTTTGGAGCTGGTGATTTCTTCCCAAAAGCTGGGAATAAAATCTGTGTTTGTTGAGATGTAAGATTATATATGAAGAGGAAAACTGAGTACCAGTTCAGGCCCCAGCGTAACATCCATCCAACCAAGAACGGGTGTGCATGAAGTAGGTAAAGAGAAGACTTATTTGCTAATTAGACTTGGGGAAAAAACACACACATTATTCTTGCTTACCTTGTTTATTATTCACTCTAAGTGGAACAAACCTGACAAGCCATAATGCATTTGACTCATTACCATACATATTGCCTATATTCCCTATTCACAGAAATTTCAACAGAGAAAGAAAAATATACCTTTTAAAAGAACGGTTTATAAAGTCATTGGGTAAAGAGAGTTCCAAGAAACGCGTGAAAGTTAGAAGGAAAGGTTTTTCAAGACTTCCCCCTCATGTTTTCTGAAGCGAAACACGTAACGTAAAGCACACCTGACATCGGACTTCCATACACCTCGGAGGTTTTCTATGGAGTCTTCACTAAAGTGTACTTCCTAAATGTTTCACTGTACCAGAGCAGGAGTTCCTCCATCAGCTTCCAAGCCCGTGAGCTCGCTAGGTGCTGTACACAACGCTTCCATAAAAAGGACAGCTCAAATATAAAAAAGACGAGGGCGTTGGCAGTCGGGTGACCTCTTTGGGAGACAGTACGTTGCGTTTGGTTCTGACTTTCTTAGGAACAGCAGCAGACAAAGCACGGTAATCACTGCAATTATTTGAAGCTCTTCAGTTTGAAGAGCATTTGTAAAAGCAGGTCCAATTATAACAAGCTGATATTTGCATAATTAACGTTGAAACAAAGCATTTTGTTAGTGATAAATGCATTTAAGAGCTGAAATACCTTAAGACAAGCTATTCTGTTTGTCAGCTTGTCAGATATGTGTGCTGAAGCTTCCCCTTCTAATGCCAAGATGTTTGGTGCAGCACCTTAAAATTAATATAGAAGCTGGACTGGTTTTTTTCAAGGGTAGGACACTTCATCTGAGCAGCTCACCATGACAAAACAGGAAAAGGAAAGAGGACTGAAAGCAAGTGATTTATAGACGTTCTAATTTTTCACTCAGAAATTCTTCCACGCTATCGGTATTCCACTTGAGGATGCTCAGTTCTTCTGCAATGTTCCCGCTGTCATCCAGCAGCTTCAGTACAGGGTCAGAACCGCGCACGTACTGTGGGAAAACAAAAGCGCGTTACCTTGGGCTGGAAATGCATTCCCCATCCTAACTCCCCCTCCCCAACGGACTGAAATCAGTTAGGAAGATGCCAAAGCACGTAAAAAGTCCAAAGAGCGACGCCACGAAGTACGAACGCTTAAGAACCGAGCGCTAAATTACATCAGAGAATTCTGGGCAAACTTTGGCAACGCAATCTGTGCTAAAATCAGCCTAAGCTTTGGTTTTTTAAAGCTTCGAATTCTTACCAGACAGACAAGCTTGGCTGATCCTGACAACGCTCAATGCTATAAATATTCCCGAGCTGTGCGTTTCGTTCTGATTTTATGAATTCCATTACTGAGTGTTTAACAACAACGTACTCTACCTTCCTTGAAGAAAACAGATCTATAAAAATCAAATTAAGCTTATGAGATCAGCCTTTCAGCTGGTTTTCTCCTGTGCTGCTGCTTCCTCCTCCTCCCAACATGTTTTGTCTCGCGGAGCAGACTCGGAGGAGGAGCAGATGTGCGAAGCGAGAGCTCACGCACACGTGGGTTGGCGAAGGACCCACTGCCAAGAGGGGAGAGACCCTGCTGAAGCTTTACAGGCAGAGGCGCTGCAGGTTGCACACCGGCAGGGGCTGGCCAGTGTTTTGCAGCTCTGGACTAGAGGCTTTCTCGCCTAGTCCTAAGGAATGAGGGTGGGAGAAAAGAAGGAAGCAGAAGGGACGAAGAGGCCTCCTTTCACAGCAACTTAAACCACATTCATTTAAGAGCAGTAAATGTTTATCTCGAGATCCAGAACAGAATTACTTGCCTTAAACGAAACAGGTAAGAAACAGCTTCAGCTCAGACTTCTCACTTGCATTTAACATCAGAGAGAGGAAAGTGGAGGAACAAGTCAAATGAAGAGGGGTGGGGGGTGTCAGAAACATCTCCTCCTTCTCCTTGGCCCACTACACCAGCCAACACACACAGGGGGCGATGCCATCAGCCTAGCTCTGAGAGACTGTATTCCGCTTCATGCGTTTTAAGTTACCAAGTTGGAGTTTTGAAGCAAGAGCTGAACAATTTTTCTCATCTAATCCCGAGCCTTTTTACCATTTTAGACGTTTCTGGTCACTTTA